GATGTTGTGGGAAGTAATGAAGATGGTTTGCCTAGTGTTAGTGTGGCAGCTGGACTGGGACACGGCATCGTATCGCTTTCAAGTCAAAGCAGCACTCTAGATGGCAGCAGTCTTCCTCTGCTTCTCATGAGTTCTGGATCAGCATTAAGTGGACTCGCTCAGTCACAAAGTGATATCAAAGCTATCACTGACCTCTCTCCTGATTCTCAGGGTGCACTGCAGGTTAGTGAAGTTTGTTAATTTCTAAAGTAATAAAATGTTCATACTGTGATTACAACCTCTGGTATGTATAGTTCGTTAAAACAATTTTTGCTCTTCAGGATTCAAGCAAGCTAGCTGCAGAGCTTGTGGAAACATGCGAAGACATTGGAATTGAAGTTGTGGATGAAATTCCTGGAATAAATCGCTGTCATGTACATGCTCGGAAAACTCTCTATCATGCTGGCCATGTAAGTAATATTAGTGACAACCAGGCATGCAGGAACCACATAATTCACTGAATGAGAAAGATAGATATTTTTTGTTGTGATTTTATGTATTACTTGTAATCATAAAATGATGGTTTCACTTTACAAGATAAAACTTAGTAGGACTTAGTAGGACTCAATTTTTTCATTGATGGTTCCTTACAGATGGGGAGAAAACGGAAAGGATGTGGAGAGTGTGAAGGTTGTCAAGTTGTTGAAGACTGCGGCCAATGTCGGTTTTGCCGTGACAAGGCAAAGTTTGGAGGTCCTAACAGACTGAAGCAAGTTTGTGTGTACAAAAGATGTGTCCTTGCTGAGATGGAGCCAGAAGATTCAAAGAAAAGACGGAAGGTAAAATACTGTTATGATATACCATTAAAATGTTTATATAGTAAGTCATATATATTGATAAGAATTTATAGTGTACATAGGTTACATTAAAAGCTTATATATTTTATATTTTCTGCAGAAAAAAATTGACTTTGCATGTTGAACTGCAAGACCATATCATAACAAATATATTAGTAAACCTCTTTCAACACTGGAAATATAATAAGTGATATCTTGTACATTACATTCATGTTTTGTTGCTTACAAACAGTCGAGTGGAAAAAAGGGCCGAGGAAAGTGTGGTGGCTGTGATGGATGTCAGCGGACTAGTGACTGTGGAGAGTGCTATGCCTGTCTCCACAATGCAGCAGCACAGCCACCAGCGCGGAGAAAGGTAATTTTTTCTTCAAAATTCTATTTTTGTATGCATGGCTGGAATCACGGATAGAGGGCAAGGTAGGAAAGTAAGATTTATTATGTGTTGGTTATTATTCCTACTCCAAAGTATGAAACAATTGCAAAAAGGAATTTAAGCAAATATATTCCATATCTATCTTTATGATTTGCAAAATATTTTTAATCAGCATGTGAAATGACATCTCCCTGAGAATTTGTAAAAAACTATTATTAATGTGTGAATTAGTGTTTAATTTTTTTATTTTGTCAATGTTCTTGTTTCATATTCAGAGTCTGCTTATGAGGAGGTTGTATATTAGTTTTATTCTTTTAAAAATTGTAATAATAATTATGAAAACTTGGACGTGGAAGTTAAACAGTTCTCCCACCCCAGGTTTGCGAGATGCGGGTATGTGAGCAACAGCAGATGGAGGAAGTCCGTGCAGCTCTCAGTGTAGCTGGGGAACCCTCGCCCTACTCCACCGATTCGCTCATGGCAGAGAGTCTGGGCATGAACTCTGGCACCTCTAGTCCAACTCCAGATGGCCAGCCTAGTACCCATAATGATAAGATGAAATTAATGAGGAAGATGCTGAAGAAAAAATTTGCCCAGCCCTACAGCAGGGTAAGCCCATCAAAGGTCGGTGGCAGCAGGCACTGCTGGTATTATCTTGTGTTCCTCCACTTTCCTCTTTTTCTTTTTCCCCATTCACTTTTCATCTTTTAATTTATTTATTTGTTTGTTTATTTGTATCACTTTTGTTATTATTTGTTTAATGTAACTTTTGGGCATTTTCTATTATGGGACTGAATTATTTTTGTATTATATTTTTATTTCTTTGTACCTTGGTTAATGATTTTTTAAAGTCTTGGTTAAAGCAGTGGCTGTTGTTCAATCTGTTTTGTTCTCAGTTATACATCTCTGTGGAATAAGGAAATATTCTAAAAATCATTTGCTAAATTGCAGGTACGAACCAAATACTACTGTGGAGAATGCCCAGGTTGTCTTACCACAACTCCCTGTGGTAACTGCCTGTATTGTGAGGACATGCCAAAGTTTGGAGGGCCTGGAAGATATAGACAGGTTTGTATTTACTCTGTTTCTTTTTTAGGATACCAAAAATATGAGAAGATAGATCTTCAAATCTGAAAAGAGTATGTTTTGTTACTGTTTATAATGATTTGCATTTATATATAATGTGGATAATAATTTTTGCTGTCTTTCATTTTCAGAAATGTGTGAAGCAGTTGTGTGTGTACCATCCCCGACTGCAAGCACTGAAGTTGTCAAACAGATCAAAACTAACGTATGATGAGCAACATATTGCCCAGGAAACCCTCTCCCATTTAGCATGTGCCCCAGAAGGAGCTATCCACTTAGAGTGTGAAGTGAGCCCAATGAGCAGAGAGCACCTGGAAGAAACTGAAAGTATAGAAGAAATTGAACAGATAGATGAAACTGATGGGGTGACGGAAGGAGAAGATAGCAATGCCATGTCACAGGTAAATTATCTTAGGAAAAGGTACTATGTCTGATGTTTATTTAGGCAACAATCATGATCTGATGGCTGTTCAAGTTTCTCTGATTTTCCATTCTTCTGTATGGTAGACTCTACATTTGAAAAGTTCATGATTTTTTTTCTTATCTCTGGGAATCTATGTAATTAGATAGTAATAAAACAGATAATTAGATTCAAAATGAAAAGGTTTTATACATGATTAACAATTCTGTATTGCAGTTTATTTCTATAAAGATACATAATTGTAACATTAACTCAATATAACTTCTGAATTCACCAGGATCATCATTTTGGATATCATTATTAAATAATCAGTTTAATATTTGGCAAGTACAAATTGATTTATTGTATTTCTTTTTCAGGTCAGAAGCATTTTAGAGAGCATCAGTGCAAAAGCAGAAATGGATGAACCAGGGCCAATTACCAAAGTTGAGTCAATACCCCTTATCAGTGTCACTCCTGAACCAGTCATTTCTGAAAGAGAGGCACTGCAAGTCCCTGCCGATGTTCCTGTTTCCATAGACACGCCTGGTGTTGCAGAAGAAGAGCAACCAACTCGCTTGGCTACTGAGGAAGGTGAGGAGGACTTGGAGGAAGTGGAAGAGGATGAAGAGGATGATGATGAATTGGTGTCTGAAGCATCCGATGTTCCTTCACCACCATCGACACCTTCTCCGCGCCCTAGAGTACGTGGACGAAAACATAATAGAGGTAGAGGGCGGGGGAGAGGCAAACTCACAAGAGCGAGTCTAGCAAGGTTGCAAAAAGCCACAAGACGAGGTCGTAGACGGAGGACTCCTCGTTTCACACTTGGTCCTGAGGATCATTCTGGTATGTGAACCCAGAATTTTCTGAATGTGTGAAGTGGTGGTGTGCCTATGTATGCTCTCATACAGATCTGTAATAACACTATTGCCAGACTCATTAACTGTGGCTAAAGTTGATGGTACACTTTAAATATCTGTTGTCAAGTATCACAGTAGTGGGATGTACCAGCAGAGTCCAAAATCAATACAAATGCGATTTTCGAATGTGGCAGAATGGAAATAAGGAATTAAAGAAAATTAAATAAAACTTTTGATAAAAAGTTCAGAGGCAAAAGTATTAATACAATGCAGTAAGTCCTCCTGCAAGTTGTGTAGCGCAAATAGGTGACTCTACAAATGTTAACTTCACAGAATGTTCTGGACAAGTAACTGTTTAGATCATTTTGTAGCATACTTCACTACTTGGAACATCTAGCAATGATCATGTCATGTGTTCCCAGATGAGTTTTAAATCTTTTAGTTAAAAATATCTGGCATCTCTGATTCATGAGTCAGTTGGAAAACAATCACTGTTCACTGCACTGGTGAAGAAAATTTGGGTAATACCACTTCATTGATCATATGGAAAACTGGGGGAGTGAATAAAACCAGGTTAGTGCAGGCAGCGGGAGAAGGATGTGCTGCTTGTCTTTGATAGACTCTTTTAGACTGTAGGGCATCAACACTGCAACGGTGTTTAGCAAGGAATATTATGTTTTTTAGTATTCTTAAGGACTTACTGTCTAATGGTATTTTCAAATTCTTATATTAATAAAAAATGGCTAATTAAATGAATAATTGTGTGTTGATGGATTTGTTAGCAAAGGGTTTATATATTAAATATTGTGGATGGAAAATATCTAAATATATATTAGGAGTAGTATAACACTGACTGAAAGTGATTTCCTTTGAACACAAATATTGTTAGTCATTTATGAAGCATTATGACTATAAGTAGAGTAACTATTATGTGGGACATTATTATCAAAAAAAAAAGAAAAAAAATCTTCATATTTTTTATAATTAAAATTTGATACTTGTGATCAATTCATGTTCAGCATATTTATTATTTTGAATTTCAATAATATACTGGCTAGATAAGAACATAAAAAGAACTGACTGAGAACTGATTTGCTGAATTATCTTCATTACACCTAATTTGCTCATTATATTGCTTCTAATGATAGGACCATCTTTCTTTACAGATTATGAAGATGAGATAATGTTAGTGGAAGCTGGTGAGTCTGTGGTAGAGGAGCCTTCAGCCTCTGACAAGTGTGAGACAAAGGGAGACGCGGATCTCCAACCTTTGAATGATGTGTCAACTAAAGACATCAACAATGGCCAAGGAACCAAAGAAAAACCAACTAATATTCCAGCAGCAGAGAAAATTGAGGACCAAGGATATTCCAAATCATCCACAGTGGAAGTGAAAGGCGACATCAGAACTGTGCATAAGGTTGATTTGATGTTCCAAGAGTCGCAGGTGAATGTGTCGCAGAATCCTAGTGAAAACACAGATTCAGTTAGTCATAAGCACAATGGCCCATATGTATTTCATGATGAGGAATCCAGTCAGGGTGGAAGAGATGTTAATGAGAACTTGGGGTCTGTAAGTGAGACAGCCTCCGCATAGCACTTGCTTCAGAAACCTATAAAGCCCACCCATATTCCAGTACAACTTTCAAGAGAATAAGCTTGCCAAGTGTGACTGTTTGACAGATGTGTGTATAGACAGACATTATATACATACATATATATATACATATATGTTATATGTGCATAGAATAAGAATGTTCTTGTTTACAATTCCTTTAGCTTCATCATGAGAATGTTGATGTTATGGCTTCTGAATCATTGTTATTTTGTTATTTTTGAGCTGCTCATTAGCAGAAGGTAGTACACATTATATTACATATTCTCAGATATGTTCAGCTCATTGACTGTGAAAGAAAAGATCTGCTTCACAAATCGACCATGCAAGACCACGGAAAAGCAAAGATCAGTTGTAATCAATTTATCTGTTTAAAGTAAAGTTGGGTAAAGTCTGTTGATGGAAGCAATGATGGGCACTGCTTGTTGAATGCAGGCACTCTGTTCCTCTTTTTCTTTGGTAATATTTCTAAGCTAGTCAGGTATGTCATCCTTGACTTACAGTGAAGTAAATATTGCAGAAACTCTAATGTGCCATGAACATGAAGTCAAGTGATGAAGAGTGCATAATGTTATAAGTCAAATGATTACAAAAGTATGAACTTTTGGCAGAGAGTGTGAAGTTAATGTAAATATGGCAACATGTTGTTAAAGATGATGCCTTTTTGAATCTCATATGTGCCCAAAAGTTAACAAATTATTTAAGTGCCATTTTCCTCTTGTCCATTTGGACAGAAGTTTATTATAAAGTGAACTTTATAATCCTGCAAATATTCCTTAACTTCAATTATTTTTTGGAAGAAGTACAAAGTTGTGTCTAATTGTGAATGTGATGAGCCACTGATGCGATGCTGACTGCTTATAAAATATGGTAGTATTAGTGCCAAGCAAGGCCAAGTGTTTCATTGTACCTTGAGTGATTAGTGATTGTATTCTGTTAGCTCTGGAGAGTTAAAGGAGCATGAACAGTGTTTGAATTTATTCCAGAAAGTCAAAATATTTGTTGTGCTATTTGTTACTTTAAGAACCTTCAGATTCTGTACATTATTTCCTTCCATAAAGAGTTGTTATGCAGCTACATGCTTTGATTTTTGTTGACAAGACTAACCACTCCAATAGAGCTTGTGATTGTACATACACCAATGAACCCTTGCTATTGAGATTTCAGCATCTGCGTGTTTGCTTAGAGGCAGTATAATATTATATAATATTACTGTATTTTGTTATATAAGCTACAAATGCTCCATGTTTGGTGTTCCTATATTGTTCTTAGTTTTAGTCAGTAGAGTTATATTGATACTAGAGTTTTGCCATATAGTACCTAGATATATTTAAATAGGAACTTATGCTGAATAAAACTGATATATAGCTTTCTTTTTTCATATAGGAAGCACTATTTGTGTTCAGATGGAAATATGTTGGTTGTTCTTGCACATTTGAAGATATTTTTTGCTTATTTTTTGAATTGACTATATGTAGGAAGTGATTTAAAATATTGTGGAAAATATTCAGACATATTAGTATTTATGTATTTTGTTACTGCACAATAGTTAAGGCAAACAGTGGCGTGCATACTCTTCAAGGGAGTTACTAGTCGATATATTTGCTCGAATGTGCTCTGTGTATGTTTGACTTTTTTCTTTTCTCTCTTTTTTCTTTTTTTCTGTTTCTTTTTCTTTTTCCTTTTCAGTCTGATATTATTTACAAAAGAGACATGTAAGTATACGAGCCTTTCCTACAAAAAGGGACTTGATTTCTAAAGTATTCACCTACATGTTTTGCAAAGAACATTGGGATATTCATCAAAATGGTTTTCATTAAGTTATTTTAACAAAAGTTGGGAATTAAATACCCAGTAGTAGTGACTTTATAGTCAGTACTGTATAGATTTTTTTTTTTCTTTTTAGTTATTATATAAACATTATCAACAAATACTTAATTTTTCACTATTTTATTTAATTTTGAAAATATTTTCCACAAACATACACATAAAATTTACACATGCACTAAAAAAAAAAAAAAAAAAAAAAAAGCAAATGAATTTAATTGCCAGTAATATGGAAACTATGTAAAATTTTAATTTTAATGGTATAATTTACAATAGCAATTGCAATATTCATGTGTTATTTTGAGGGAAAAGTTTCAGATTTTTTAATACCATTGGGTTGAAAATGCTCTATACTTCATAGTGTGCAATGCCTGCGTGCCTGTCCTGCTGCACATATCATGTCCTTGTGGCATTTACAGGGTATTTAACTTTTCTTGTACACTAAATAAATCTGATCCTGTTGATTTTCATTCCAGGCAAGTGAATGAATGGAAATTATT